TAATAGCACTGAAGAAGAGCCAAAACATTGAAGCAGCACTAATGTTCTAACGTCTGTGTCCATAGATTTATATCAGACGCAAATGATAGTCACTAATAGAGCTGCGTACGATTTATTTTGTACGGGAGATCGGAATCGGTAGATTTCTATAATGCGTCAAAAGCACGTGTGATCGTGAGGCTACGACACATTTTATCGCATGAAATGACCATTTTGAACCTTCATACCAAAGTGGATCAGACTGTCGTTGTTTTGTAATAAAACAATGCGAATCGAATCGAAAGAAACCCCCCGCTTTGTTACATGGCAAGCTTAGATCTAGACAATGGCATCCATTTCATGCTTGCGTAATAATATATAGTCCGTGAACACGATATTGCTACTACGACTTGTACGCACAAAAAGCTTTTGTCTGGCTAGTTGCTTGATACTTCAGATCGCGCAGATCTCTATTCTCCGTATCTTATTTTTCTCTTCTTAATCGTCTCCTCATGAACTTTGTTCCTCATATATCCAATAAAAGATTTCGTCGCTCCATTGCAAACGGCAAAGCACCGGTCGCTACATTCTTTTCAATATTCCCAAGTTTCGCAAGGATGTTTTTCGAACTTTTGAAAGCCCTTTGTCTCTACTTTCTCGAGAGCTGCACTATTTGCACTTAAGCCTAAAGATCTCGACGTAAGCCTTTGTTATTGCTGATGAATCTTACTTCGTCGTAGCGGCGTGTCCTCGTACATGATGATAGCGACTCTGTCGCGCACATAGCGCTCCTTTGACATATCACAACCATCACTTGGTTGTGTACTGAAAGAGTTCTTGATGCTAATATCCAGTCAAACATTACAGCACCCACTGTTGTATAGTATATTCACATACAGGGCTTCTACGTTATAAAGATATTCCACAAACTTTGTAGAGAAAAAGTTGGTGGCATACTTTGACTACCGTGTTGCCCTCCCACCGTCCGGTTTGATTGAAGGACTCGCTCGACAACTTGGATTGTACCTGCGGCACTGGTCTCTGTCGATGTCTCCTACATTCTCACTTCTCACTTTTCAGTAGGGTTTTCAAGGCCGCACGACATTATGATACGTCAGAGCTTGTCATTGATTCAGATAAACAATTTGTCCTTGTTGTGTAGAAGACAAGAGGCAAAGGCATAACGATGGAATTAAAGCACATGACACGACAAAGCAAACTGTAAGCAACACACGTCTGACGGGTCTGCGTTGTATAGTGCTTTCATTGCGCCATTGTGCCTTGTAGATGAGTTTTTAAAATGTACTTATCACCGCTGACATGTGGATAAACGTAAGTGTCTACACTAAAGGCACGCAAGCTGCAAGCTTCCACATTGTGCTGTTGCCATTCGAATATATCGAAACGAGGCTACTGAGTCGGCGGGTTTTGGATTATCACAAACAACAAGATTTGTGACCATTCAAGTGTTTCAAGAAGTTTTATCGAAGAATGTTAACAATGAGTATGTCGAGCGCACGTACTTGTTAGAAAAAACCAGTGCGACATTTGACATGATTAATGCTTCAAAACTCGAATCTAAGCGATAAAATATATGCACCTTTAATGACAGAGAATGAGACTATCGGCGTGAGTCTTGAACAAGAACATGTCTTGCAGTCTTGCTGTCGCCATTGGTCATTGTTCAAAAGCATCACCAGTATCAAAACCAGATGAATAAGTCTGAATGAAAGCTCGGTATCATATAAGTCTAATCTCAGATGTATGACAAATTGGTTTGCTTCGATCTTGAGGCCATACGGACACAATCATTGATGAAAATTAGTTTAGAGCTCATAGACGTTTCTTACACTCAGAAAATCAAGATTGCCTGGTGACCCAACTGAAGCAGCCACTCACTATAAATTTGGATTTAGCTCGCCCTATAGAACTTTCATCCATCATCTAATCTAGCTATGAGTCGTTAAGGTAATATTCATCAGAGCGAATTCGAAGGTTATAAGTCACGCTCCATCTCCAAATGTAGCTAGCCACCTTTTTACTAAATTGGGATAACGCTGGGTCTTTAGCACAACGCTTGTAGTTCACTATACTGCAATCAAGTCTCTCGTCAAGTCAAGATAAATATCATGCATTGATGACTGAAAGCGCTACATTCATAGCTCTCAATCTCATTCCTTTCTCAAGAGCTTATGAAGAATAACAGTGTTAAGAGAATAATGCGGTTTTAGTGCCAATAGCCTCGTGCAATCGTCCTCAACACGAGGTAATGAGAAATGCGTTCGGAATAGCATTGATTAAATTATGACCTGGAGTTCTTTGACACGATTGATGTTGAGATCTGTGATAAGCATACTGCAGACATCACTTTACGAATCGTAGTCCTCTTTAAACCACAGCTGCAAAGTAGTTGATTCTACGAATGGTGTGGAAGTGATGCATACCAGTAGAATGTAAGCTGATTGACTTGTGTCAGGAATGACCAGTAAAGATCTCTTAACTTGCTTCCTTCCGACTTGCTTTTAGCCACTCAATAGATGTCGATTACTCGAGTAAACAAACTTTCAACTTCTGCAGCTAGCCTTCCATTGAACTACACAAAATATGTAAGAAATACTACAAGACAACAGTTTTCGTTCAAAACAACATATTTATTCAAATGTAAAACGTTAAGTATATGCAAAGCCGCTTCCGTTCACGGCTAGTCTGAAGTTCTACGTTGCATCCACGTCGCAACGTCTATCTCCAGCGTGTTTCGTTTATCTTTTCAGGTGGCTCACATACTTGAATGTAAGGTAAATGGCAAGCTGGAGTATACCCCAAATGACAATAAGCCCAACCATAAAGTTGTACTTTCGATTGGGTCGAAAGTCGTATAGATCTTCAATGTATTGTGCCACCGTCATGTCTGTCGTCACACCATTAGTCGTCACGGCAATCACATCCTGTTTTTCACCAAATAGAACGCCCACCAAAGCCGACAATGAGTAGCTTGATGGCATCAGGTATGTAAACCACTTGTAACCCGCTTTCATCGATGGACGTGGTAAGAGATAACCCGAAAAGAGATTAAAGAGACACGATAGTGCACCAACAGCAACGTTCGCTACCTTTTCGTTTGGCATCAAAGCTGACATCCACTGTCCCACGTACGTGCATGCCGACGTGTACAAGTAAAAGATAAACATAAAGAAGAGAAAGTCACCCGCATTGTTACTCCAGCCAACGAGCCAGTACTCAATTGTGACGAACAAAGTGATCACAACAATCAAATATGGGACTTCAGCGAGCCAAAGAGACACACTATACGGTAGTGGTCCATAGTAATTTGACATGCGTTCACGATAAAAGACAGCACGTTCGGCACACGTGACTTCAAGCACAGTCATGAGATTGATGACACCAATGAAATCCATACTGTTATAGATGAGACCAATGTGCGAATTAATACGTTTCACACTGTCAGCTGATAGCTGATAGAATGTCGTGCCGAAAATGATACCAAACAATGGAAAGAGGAACATGCGCATGAAGTTATACTGTGGATTACGCCAATACGTCAATTGTTGCTTCTTGATTAGCTCCTTCATTTGATTTCCAAGACTCGTAGCAATTGGAGTATAGTTAAGCGTTGAATGACGAACAAAATCGTCAGAAACTTCAGCTAACATCAATGTGCGTTCGCGATTTGACTTGTATAGCTCACTATTCTTGTATTCAAGAGAATAGTTCTTCACATCACGACCAATACCGGCACCAATCACTTCAAGCATGTATGTAGCAGGGTTGTATTGTGGACGAATCTCCATCGTGCCAGGGATTGACGCAAAATACTCGAGCATCTTTACCGAATCAACACCAAGATCACCAAAGTATGCAGTGTAACCACCACGTTGAAGTAAAAGCAGGCCATCAAATAGCTCAAAGATCGAAATACTTGGCTGATGGATCGTGCACAGTACCGTACGACCCGTACGAGCAATCGACTGGACACCACGCATGACAATGAGCGCTGATCGTGCATCTAATCCACTTGTAGGCTCATCAAGGAACAAAATACTCGGGTTCGCTACCACTTCTACACCAATCGTCACCCGTTTCTTTTGTTCAACAGATAGACTACCCACCATTGCACCCGAAATGGATGTAAGTTCAAGAAGATCCATCGTCTCGTGTACAAGATTCAAACGTTGCTCGCTTGTAAAAGTCGGAGGGAGACGTAGATTGGCCGAGAAGACAAGCGCTTCATATATTGTCGCAGCTTCCGAGTGAATGTCCATTTGTTCACAATAAGCCGTGATCCGACTGAAATTGGCAGGATTCTTTGGCTCACCATTTACAATAATATCACCGACAATGCGACCGCCAGTCTTGCGTCCAGCAATCACGTCCATCAACGTGGTTTTACCAGCACCAGTCGCACCCATAAGAGCAACCATGCGACCAGGTTCAAAGTGTGCTGTGATACCGCAAAGCAGTTGTTTCTCTTCACCCGATGGCAATGTGACAAAGTATTCCAAGTCTTTAATACACAAATTTGAAGGGGTAAATGGAAGGCCGCCTTTGCCCGACTTCGAGCCTTCGACAGCACCAGGTGTATTCACTTCAATGTATACATTCTCTTCTTCGTCTTGAGTGTCAGTTAATGGCTTAACACTCACACCCTTGTACTTTTCGTAGCGAATAAAGTGTAATGCTAGACCATTCAATGTCGTAAACAAAAAGTAATACGCTATAAGTACAATGATACCAAACCAAATGTACTCAGTTCCTTCCTTGATCGAGAAATTGTCCAATAGTGTGCGGCTTTCAACAGGTGTGTAGCGGTCGCTAGAAAACTCGGACAACATGTTGCTTCGCAATGCCCATGATACAGGAGAGAACCAGTACATCCAAATCCAATAGTCTGGAATCAAGTCGGCGAGAATAATATTTCCCGAAAACAATAGGAAAAAACTCACCGAAATGGCTGCAAGAGCTTGACCGACTGTGATACTTGGCGACAGAGCACTTAACATTGTCATGTATGCACTAATAGCGTGTTGAAATGCCACTAATACGATGAAAAAGACAATATACTTTTCAAACGTACGGGTTAATCCACTCATAAAGTAGAAGAAAGTACCCAAGATGAACGACACGACAAGGTTTACAGGGATCTGAACCACACTCTCCGCAATCGCATACGATGTAGTACGGAAAAAATTACGCGGTCGCTGCTTGTAAAATACTTTCCGAAGTTGAAATGAAATGGTAATTTGCTGCCACGCTTGACGTTGAAATAGCGCAATACTAAAGAAAATCATGCGCAAATAAAACTCCGAACTCACGTTAAAGTAAATCATACCAAGCACAAGTCCAACAATGACAGCTTCAATCACTTTACCCCATAAAAGTGGTGGATCACGAAGCCAAATAAGTTTTTGACGATTGAGTAACAATAAAGTGCTTGGAACAAAAGCAAGTCCAAACTCGGATTTCTCCTTCGATCGCGCCAAGTTAGCCACACTTTTAGCTTTTTTGAAATCTTCAGCACTTTCAAATTGATGCTCGTTAAATCCTTTACTAATCGCTTCATGAGTCTTATGATAGATACTTGATTGACAAAAGTGTTGGTTAAAGTCTTCAGACGTCACTGGTAATTCCTTACGAGGGACAGTACCATTGGAGTATCGATGACCACGACCAGACGTGACTTCAATGAGAAAATCAGCCGGATCGACACGTGGTGGACATACGAAGCCAAGACTATTGAAATAGTCCAAAATCTCAGTACGAGGTCCATGATAGACCATATGACCTTCATTGATCATCAAAATGTCATCAAACATTTCTACAACTTCAGGTGTTGGTTGTAACAATGCGACAATCACTGATCCACCAAGCGTTTTGCACCACGTACGCATAGACTTCACAATGTCAAAAGTAGCAGCACTATCAAGACCAGTGGATATTTCATCACACAGAAATAGACTCTGACCACCAACAAGTACTTCTCCAACTGTCACACGTTTGCGTTCACCTCCACTCACACCACGTAAAAGTGCATCACCTACAACGGTATCCGCACAATTCTCAAGACCCAAAATTTGAAGAAACAATTCTGTACGTAACGCTGCAATGTCACGCATTTCTTCGGGTTGATCTTCTGGACGTCCATTGACACACATGTCAGCAAACTTGAACGTTTCACGAACTGTAAGGGTTGGAATGTGATTATCCATCTGATCAACAAGTCCAACCAGTTTGACTAAATCAATTTCATCACCACGTAGACCCGAGTAAAGAATCTCACCACCAATTTCCGTCTCTTTGTTATCTTGAAGTTTACCTGCCAGTGCTTTCAAGAACGTTGACTTCCCCGCACCGGGATTTGCTAGAATCAAAGTCATCGATCCTGGTTTGATAATTCCACTCATTGGATGCAATGCATGTTTCGTAGTCATAGGAATTTTTTCCCATGGAGTAAAGATTGAGGCTAAATGACTGCCCACAGTTCCATGTGCTCCAACTTCAGCGGGTACTTGTACAGAGAATGAAAGGTTCTCAAAACGGACTTCAGGTGTTGGTAAAAGTAAATTAATCTTGCGTGATAAATGATCGTATTTCTTGTAAAATCGTTCAAGACCACCATTCAGCATCGTTTCGAGATCATCAGCACGTAATGTACTGTATCGACTTGCCATTGTATCATGGCTATGAGAGTACGGATCCTGTAGACTGCGGAAATTAAGCGAACGGTAGACTTGAGGCACCCCCTCGCCATTATCAACTCCTTCAGGCTGTAAAAGATTAGCCGTCGTCTCGTTTTTCTTCTCTCCTGAGGCCATCCGGACTGTCGTCTTAGACAAATACGAAGCTCTTGATGTCGATTAACGAAGTAAGAACGTGGCTTTGCGTCCAAAGAGGCAATTTGAAGAGTGAAAAGTTTGGACACGAGTTTTTAACAGCACGGGCAGATTACCTGAAGCTCTCATATACCGTCCGTACATTATTCTTAAAGGGAAGACCGAATTTTCACGTCTCCACGACACAAACCAGCCGTTCGATTAAACTTAGAGAATCTGAGGTACAGCGACAGGTTGGTAGTCTTATTTCAGTATGAATGAACGAGAGATGAGACAAAGTTAAAAACGATTTTAAAACATTAGAAGAAACAAAGCTTTTGTATTAAGAAATGTAACCACTTATTTCTGAAAATAGATAGTAATGGAATTGGGCTACCACAACTTTTATCTTCGGCTGTTTTCTTGTCGTATACCAGACGGAGCAGTCGAGCAGTGTACAGGCTTGGATTGTTTCTTTCTTAACCAAAGTTCCGGCCCTTGATGTAAAATCTGAAGATTGCGGCTTCAGGTTTCTTCAAATCAATGCGTACGAAAACTTACACACAGACGTAAAGGGATAGAACGTGGTAACACATCGTAAGTTACATTCTGTCTAGTCAAATGAATAATCTGAAGGAAGATCGGATGTAGGAGAAGCTCATATTAAGCGATTTACGATACACACTATTTGGTCGTCTAGGATGAAATCCTTTTATCGGATCCTGGGCGACGGGACTTGGAGTCGGCATCTTGCATGCGAAATTTTGGACTATCCAGCATATGGTAATTAGTCACTGGCTTGATATACTATGCCATATACAAGGATATGTACACGAGAATAAATTACAACAATAGGAAGATGGTTATAGTATTGAAGGATGGCTCATCTTTTGAGAGCAAAAGCGACGGGTACCGTACCACTATAAAAATTTAAAGGTCCGTTGGCATTTTTTAACATTCAAGTGAGTCTGACCTGACATCGAAATTTATCTCGAAAATAGAATAGTTGAAAATAGGACTGAATAATTAAAGCTCAAAATCAAAACTATAGCCTATATATATTTATACAGGTGTAATCGAGATTGATATGGCGCAACTCCGAATAACTTTTTCGTGGTACTGATACCTTACCTAACGTGCCGATGTCCTTCTTCTCCTTTGGTACCCAAGTTCTGCTTACACAATTTTGTACAACGATAAGCAGACTTAAAGCTTACAGGACGATGCAAAGAATCGAGCGCGTAAAAGCGTGTAGTCTCGTTTATTATATTGGAGGAATGTGGCTGATACTATCCATAGAATCTTACAGTACTTCAAAAAGAAAGCGGTAAAGCGTGAAAGTGATATATTTACAATACAACAATAATATCAACATGTTAAGCTGCAATACGACTGTAGCTTGCTTTGAGCTCTTTTTGTCATTTCCTTGTCGTCTACATGTACATCGCGTAATATTGATCCTATACCGTATGTAGCTCGACCTTCTCTTCCACGCACAAATTGTCTGCAATGCATAGGATTGAAAATTTTGATAGAACGTGGCTAGGTGTTTTGTTTATACATCCTCTGCACACCCTACAACAAGCCATTTGTATTTTCCACGGCACCAAGTAATTGTTACGCATCATCGACACCGCCGTGGTGTCGATCTCGAATCTTGCACTTCATGTAGTTAGCGGACAATATTTCTCTTACTTTAAGAACGAGGTAAAATGTATTACTACTTTGTAAAATGTATTACTACTTTTTATACGATATGAAACAATAGGAAAGCATTTCACTGTATTAAAATTTAACTCACGGTATTATCTACGGATTTAAATTAAAGTATGGGTTTCACTGGATCAATTGGACGACGGCCAACAATCCCTCGACCAATAAGATTGTAGCTATTTTACATAGCAGCTAATACGTGGTAATAAGATAAATTAAAATGATAGTACATGGCAATTAGAAAGTCCCTTGATGAAAAACGACTGTTTTCGCGATAATTAGAGGTAACGCGTTCTCCATGTCGTTGGGCAGCGACCCCAACAGCGGCCCCACAATTTGCCTTTTTAGAATTCCATCGAGTTTCGTAATGCAATTATTGCTATATATTAAGGTTTCTTAGGCTTTTAAACTTTTCAGGCTTCCGGGTTTATAATAATTTTCTCGCTACTTGTAGAATTGTCAAGCTGATGCGAGCTTTCACATGTTCATTATATTGTTACATTGTGTTTTCTCTTCGGGATACACAGTGCTGCAAACTTCGCATGAAGGAAGCTTCGACTGTCGGATCTGCTGGGCTGACGCACGGAGGATAGGGTCACTGGGACCTCTGCGACCGAGAGCCTCTAAACTAATTAAGCATTAGAAGATACTATGTGAGAAGGTAATGTGTATGTACTATTTCAGAACATACAGAATAGTACATACACATTACGCAGCTGTGCAATTGTGCATGATACATTTTTATACAATCGTACAAAAAACACATAACACTTTCACGTGATTGTGCAGAACACAGGGATGCCTTAGTATTAATACGAAACGAGAACAATGTATCTAAGTTATGAACGGGTATATAAAACGCGTGGGCTGCGAACCTCTTATCAGGCGCTACAGACATCGCTATGATTGCGTGTAATTGACTGCATCTAGATGTAAACTGTCAATCCTAGTATATGTCAATGTTTAAACACAAGCGCAAACTATGTACTTTAGTCGTCGGGTTGATTACAAGTGCTACCAAGTACAACGAGGCAGCCATACGTCTTGTACAGGTGAATTTAGACTCAACGACTCCCTGTACACTAATACAGACGATAGGCTCGTATGATTCGCTCTGGAGTGGATCCGACATCCTCCAAAACAACTAGGTCATGATATTTTTGACTTTTGGTAGATTTATGGCGTAGACTTCGCCATGCCGAAGTTGACATCATCTCTTGAAATCAGGTCCAGGATGAGACAGGGTTTCACTACATCTCACAAGATGCCTCGACAGAAGTCACCAGTGAGGACTCACGTATCTGTAGTTGGCAGCTAAGTGCCTCCCCAAATTGATCTATGTCTTTAATCAGTCACGCGCCATGCGTAAATACACGACTCTTCTGTGTTTATTATCAAGTTTCACGGCCTTGAAATGTCCATGTTAACAACCAACAATCAATATTTAAGAGTCCCACATCTTTGTAAAAGAGCTTGCAAATCCCATGGATACATTTCATGAACATGACATTATAGAATTTAGTAGCTTCCTTGCGCTTATTGGGACTTGATGTTTCCTCGCGACGGGTTCGTCGAACGATCTTGGGGGGCTCAGTCATCTGTAGTGAAAAGTGAGGCGCTCAAGATGCAGATGTTGAGTAATTTCTTAGTATATATCTGCAAATGCCACATTATTACCCGGCAACCAAGAGATCACTCCCTATCTCTTTAGTATAAATCAGTTTTAACGTCCTGGGTAAGCCAGGAGAGTCTTTCTCTCTGGTGCTTATGCGAGCACAAAGCTTGTAATTTGCATCTAACAAAACACCTTATGATTTCATGAACGAGGTTGGATGGCATGAATGAACAGAGGTGAGACGCATCTGTTCAGTGATCCTTCATGAGGGTGAAATCTGCTTCCGTCTACAGCTCTTGAAATGACTCAAGATTATCGTGGTGATGAGAAGTTCATTGTGTCAAACTATGCTCTATAGTGTTTAGGGCGTTAGGCTGAACATATAAAACCCGGTGGGAGATCACATGGCATGACCTTTCGATGAATTAGTGTGTCTGGTATAGAAGACGGCCTGCCACCGTCGTGACGAAAAGAGCTCATAGCCTCTGGACACGCTGGGATAGTTTGCGCTCTTCATGAAGGGTGGGAAAGAGCTTTGTGTACACATAATTCGCCTGAGAAGGCGATTCGAGAGCAATATATATTGCTAGGTTCTCCTATGTTAAGAAACTATTTGCCGCAAATGTACTGCATCTTTGTGTTCATTCTCGCGCGTGGCCTCGGCTTTGAGACCGAGATCATGTTGCTTCGCCTAGGGCATGAACAATTGCCGGCCATATCAGCTTCTCGTATCCTGAGAAAAAGTTTATTATTCCTCTTTTCACAGAGCTAGACGCTTAACCTTAGCGACCTCCCGATGGGTGCCATTTGTTCGTCCCCTGATGCCCGGTTGGGGTGTACAAGAGCTGACTCACCAGCAAAACACCTGAGCTGGCGATCCAGTTCATGCTAGTGCTGAATGCTTCTGGCTTTTACTACTGGGGAGCCAAGGATAGACTCAGGCTCACAATGTTAGCCGTTTTGTTCGGGTTCGATAATCAACAAACTCGTGCTTCATCCTCTCAGGTCATACAAATTCTCACGATGTAAATACTTGGTACGCCTCGAAACAACACTGCTATGAAGCAGAAGTGCTTTTGGCGCGGGCATAAATCAACATAGCTTCTTTGCAAAAAGGAGAATGTCAGAGCTAAATAGCAAAAGTACAGTTCGGTACCAAGAACAGAGCTCGAAAGGCAGGATTGACAGTAAGACGCGGTCGAAGAATAAAAATGATATAAGTTATTAATTGTATGTCGCGGTCTCTAAAGTAAGCTTCGGCTGAGACAGCAAAGCGCGACTGATACTTGCGTGCAAATCGAGTGAGACGCTCGATAACAGCATTGAGGTGCGCGCCTGATACCAGATCTGATAGGAAGTAAGATCTACTATGTGTCAGTGTCTACTGTCATGACGGCCAGCTCTAATCGCAACTAAATGAATTTGCCTTGACTTTTTAAAGGATGAGTATTCTGATCTCAATGTATCGTACATCACAACCACGTGACCCATCGAATGCGCATTCTAGTGGAGCCGACCGAGTTCATCATGCATCTTAGATACGATTCCAATTGAAAACAGCAGCACTCAGTGCAAGTGGGACAGTAATCATCAAGGAAGTCACAAAACTAATTTGTTTGTGGCAATTGCGCGTGCTGCCTTCGGAAAGAGAAGGTCGTGTTGAAATTTAGGCAGTTTTTGAAGCCAGATACTTATAGCGATCCTTATAAAAGGAGCCATGAAACGTCAAAGTCGCTTCTAGTGTGTGAACTCAAAGCGGGTTGGGTGAATGAAATCAAGTCTCTCCACTCGGCACCGACTTTAAAAGAGCTAATGGCAAGTAACGATTTGCGCATGCTTATGTTTAATCAGTTAAGCCTATAACCCGGCGCTTAGATGATTTCCAAAGCGAATTTGTTGCTGAGCAGCACCGTCTCTTGCGCTTTGTTCAGTGTGCAATAAACTAGTTGATAGTTGTTATCTATTGCTAACGAAATTAATTGTCTTCTCATTGCGGTAAGTACTCCGATTGAGATACACTGGAAGTGGCTACTATACCACGAGGATAGCCTGACATATTGGCGGTGTTTAAGCGTTCGGAGATGCAGTATCGTGTCGATTAGAAAATACCTTCTCCTTGGTAGTAGCCCGGAGCGTATAAATTCGGAAGTGAAGCGCTTATCACACCTATGAGCTATACTCGATTGTAGTCGCCTCAATCAGATATTAATTAATATATACAACACTGCCTTTGGCGCCGATCGAAATACTGTTTGTTTCCATTATTTGAAAAGCATGGCTTTAAGGTCGATCTCACGACGACCAAGGTCAACACTGATTGACTAATGCCGCATTTTTGAAAGGTTCTCGGGAAAAGGATTGGTACGGCCGATTTCATGCGCAAACATTGTGCAAAAATTTGCTGCCTTGACATATCCCATCACTCATCCTCTCCAAAAGGGATCAAAAGATGTTGGAGTGTGACAGAGAAGGCGACTTCTAAGAGTGTGAATCAAAGCCTCATGCGTTTGGCTTATCTTCATCCGTATCGACCGTGCCAAGCTATAGGCTGCGCTTTCCTTCGAGCTGATTGGAATAGGCATAAACACAATAAGTTCTGCCATATTCATCAGCTCATTGCAGAGAGCTTTTACTATGAGTTATGCTTAGGTAAGTAAAGAGTGCATCTGCTTTATATATGAGCAATTTGTGATGTATCGATCTTGCGTCGTCGCGCATAGCAACGCTGTCGCTTCGTCCATCACAGAGAATGGTAAGACGGTCGAACTTTCTTGCCGAGTACAAGGTATTCGTCAATTTGACTTAGTGTTGTGGCGAATATGATTTCGAACAGTATCAAGCCATACGGCGTCAGCTCCATACGTAGTCTTCAAGTGCTAAATGAGCCAACCCCCGTGAGATGAAGGTAAACCGCTATTTTCTATAATTGCTTAGATGCGTGCTTAGTGTTATGTGGCTTTGAAAAAAAAGCTACGCAAGAAGATGGATATAATATATATGTATATATAATCAACTCTCACTACTAAATTATCATGGATTACTCATAATTCTTTCGCATAGCCCTGGCTACGAATGTCGCATGTTGAAATGGTTTCCAGTAACCTTAAGCAAATTGACTATAGGCAATTTGCCCAAAGTCCTGGCCAAATGCAAGATGTGCTGCTTGCTGAGAGCTTTGTGCAGCAAGGGATATGCGAGCTCAAATGCTACTGTTTGGAGGCATGTGTTGGCGCGTTTCCATCGCTGTCGCTTTTACAAGACTCGCTATGTTACAGCGCTTACCCACTTGACACTAAACGTGAGGTGTACATCATATAAAGCTCATTCAGTACAGAGTATTGTTTATAAATTAATTTAATGGACCCAATGTTACATAAGTAGATAGATTGTATTATTCAAATAGGTGCATCCGCACACGGATAGGGTGCGTTCATCCTATTGGATGATAGATGTGGAACCATACCCATATTAGCCAACTAGTAGATTATCTGGTACCAGGAAATGGCGTTCTTTTCGGCGAGAATGCAGCCATGCTCTTCAGTACACGTTTTAGTTCTTTCATGGCTTGCCGGCGGCCATCGTGTTGGATCAAATTCACTGATTCGAAGCAAACTTTCGCGTACTTTGCAAGAGACGCTCTGCACTAGACTAGACATTACCACCGCTGAGAATCCACGGACAGTCGACCAGACCGAACGTCTAAATGGCATGGTGGTGAATTTTCTTCTTCGTGCTTGAGCAGAAAGACCACGATGCTGAAACGATCTGCTTTCGTTCAATTAATTGCACTAAATAATGTTGTGCCTACTGATGAAGACAATCGAACTCAGAGCCGTAGACACATGAGCTACTAGAGTCGCTAAGCGGATTCCTACCTCGAGATCAACAGCTGCAGTAACAACTTCACGCACTGCAAACAATCACTACACAATAAAATCTACGCGAACAATGCAGACGACCACCTTTTATCACAAGCTGCGAGTCACATCAGTCACTAAGGGGACTAAGGGTCACTAACGGGACTTCCACCATGTCTTTACAGGCTATACTTAATTTTACATAAACAAGTTGGCTAGTCACCGTATTCCTATAATATCAGATGATTTTATCTCAACGAGATGGAACGCCATGCGCCAAGAGCGCGACGCTATACTGAGAGTCAGGGTGTTAAAAGTGACATGCGCACGGCAAAGATAGTAGACATATCCAGTATTTAGTGAGAACAAGAAGAAAATGTTTGGATTCGGTGAAAAGTGGACGAGCCTATCATCTATGTCCACTTGCATGTGTTAGATAGCGTCCCCATAGCCAAAGCTTACTCTGTGCAAAGTGCAAGACAAACCATTAAATCAAAAATCTTTATGTTTTTTGTCCCAAGTAAAAAAAACATGTTAATTAATCTGAAAGAAAAAATGGGGTTGTTGGCCTAGACTCGCCGGCTTGGTGTGGCTATTGGTTAGCAGTAACCCTGTACTAGATTCAATTGTATCGAAACGCACAAAAGTTTCGGAAAGAAAAACTTTCATCAGACTATTTTGCGGCATGCTACTATTTTTCAGTCGATTCGTCAGCTTTCGTTGTGGCGTGCATCACTGAAGTTGTAGTCCACCCAAGAGAGAGTCCGCGAGTCGAGGTCGCCGCAATCTTCTCCGAGCGAACATGTTTCTACACACATTTGAGCCCTCGGGAGATACAAATTAAAATATCCTCTGATCAACAATTTATCAAGAGCCTTATCCATGGATTGCTGTTAGCATTGAGTTTCTTAGATATACAGAATAAGGAAGCGCTAACGGAAATTTCCGACGAGATCACGAGGGTTGGTGACATTGGATTTTATAAGTTTACAGACGAATATACACAAAGCATTGTGTGACTGAAAGATTTCCGCCAAACGCAAGCAGACGCCATCACTCCATGTAGTACTGCGGAGTGACGAATGCAACCTCACGCCGATTCTTGACTTCTGTATCTGTCTCTGTAACGGGACACGTAAGGCGCTATTCTATACGGACGCACTACACTTCTTTGCAGTTTACCCAGATAACACATTTGCACAAACATCTACAAATTTCGTATCATGCAAAACCCGGAATTTTTAAGTATCCGTGCAGACGGGAATGACGGCACTCGTCAGAGAAAGGTACACGAGACACATGAACTGCCAGCCTCAGTCTAGTAATACCGATTGATTTATCGTAGCCCAAATCACTTGTATATATCAAACTCTTGAAACAAAAGAGCAAACGGAGTGCTTGGCTAATTTAAAATCTATCAACCCCGCTCTTGGATATAGAATCCAAGGTCATCCATTGATATTAATCAACACGGACTCAGTAACCCAGAGCCACTCTTTTAATGATGTACTTTCAGCTTTTGTCAGAATATTCTTACCGTTGACGAATCGGCTTTCCATTCAGTTCGTTTAGTGAATTGTAAAAGCCACCAATTTATAAAATTGCGACGAAGCATCGCAGATAATTTTTACAATAACCAAACGGCATAGAATGACGCAAAGCTGTTGGAATCAACGTATAGTGTGATGGATGTTGAGTATAATGTGTAACTTTGGCGCTTTTCCGTACATGTAGAACCCGTCCGATCGACTAGCCGCAATCCTATTTTTTCAACAGCAACTTAAAGTCTGACGAGAGAGAACAGAAACGTGAAGCCGAGCAAATACTTAGATATGGCAGGGATAGTTTAATGAGAACTGGTGAATCTATTGTGCATACAGTAGTATACCTGCTAGTGACTTGATCGATTTGTGTCCTGTTCGCTCAATATGATTTTGTTGCCGCTTTAATTGAGCACTAAAGTTGTGAGGTGAAGGACCCCTGACTCTTCTTTACGGACCGAGTACTCATTATTATACTTCAGCATGAAACTTTACCATGGAGTATCTAATATTCATATTTTATTTAGCTGTCAGAGGGATGATGAAGACCTTACGCCGTGAGAAGAATATGATATCCCTTTGATTGGCCACCTTTAAAGAAAGAAGTTTAATGCTTTATGCGCGCTATGTATTGGTGATACAATACGCACGCTTGGGCAAGCTTTTTTTGCGCACGTGTAAGCTGTGTCGACTAATCAAGTCATCCAAGCTCATGGCGTCACCTTTATCCAGTCTTCCAAAAGAGTGATGTAGCTGCGTGAAGGTAAAATTTCTGCTATCTGCTAAAATACGCGTCCGAAAATCCGGCATTGTGATCTTTGTGGACAGTCTGGACAATCTGGCTCATATCACCGCGGACAGCAACAGTGTAACCGGTATGAATACAGCCTAGCTGCTCTTCGACATATTTTTTCGCTAACATGGTTCATCGGCAGTCATACCGTACAAAGGTATCCATATGGTATAGTTCCCTTGTGACGGGACAGAAGAACCGGTAGGTGAGGACACGTAAAACGTGCGAACAAGCGCTGCCTTACATTTCTTGCGTCACTAGGTGTTCGCATTTTGCCGATTATATTCAGAGCAATTTCGTACAAAACTGATTTGCTTACGGATTTTTTTACTATAAATTTAGGGTTCATCACTGGAGCACAATTGTATTCAGCATAGTATGCAAACCACGGTGCACAGCGCTAAATACTTCATCATTGTTTTAACAAGTGACAAAGTGCTCCCCAACCAAATGTACGGTAGTTGAGAAGCGGTATGTGTATCTTTTGCGCTATAAAGTCAAGAAGGTATATTTACGCTTCCACTTGCTCTATGTATCTTGCGTGCAGAATCTGAGTGATCTAATTTGGTCTAACTCTTGCGTTCTCACTCACAGCGAGCTGCGTCGGTAATTGTCGTCGCTTTGTACAAGGATGCAGCTTTTGCGCCATAAATTTGTCCAGGCTCCATAATTCCATGTGAAGTCTCCGTGATTCCTCTTCTGACTTAGGAAATCGATCTGTCGCACACAATCTGCGTTTTGTTGCGTACCTCATTTTCTTTCCATCCTCCATCAATACTTAATAGTTTATTGTGTAGACTACGCACTTCATCCCTGAACGCAGTATACATACGTGCGTACTAATTTTCTGTGTTGAGTTATTTGTTTTGTTTTGTGCCAAATCCGTTGCGTTTTAGCTGACTCATAAACAAATTATCAGTAACCAAAGGCATTTTTACATACTGCTTCATCTCTCTCACAAAATTAACATGACACCCAGCATCCAATTTCTGTCACGTCCATTTGCCCGAGGCTGATACGTGCAACCCGGCTAGCCAGCGCTGCATGTGTTTCTCACAGTAACAGACATTGTTTTAAGGCTTCTCATCCACAACCCGGCAAACGTATGCGGCTCAGAGTCAGATATCCATGGATATGACCCCGGAGGATGGAGTGGTAGAGCTAAAAGTAGAGCATAGTAGCGGGCTAGCTACAGCTCATAACCAAAGAAGCTACTCAAAGGTCGAGAACCTAATTTCTAAATTGCCACTGCGACCAAAATTCTCGATGGTAAGGTCTTCCTCTAAATGAGCGACGTTTAAGGTCGAGAGCGAATCGCCTGGCATCTGTGCACCAGTGGGAAGTTTTGACTTCATATTACTGGCGTGTTCCTCACGAAGATTCTATTTCGCACCATCGTGTGAATAAAAAGATTACACAATAAGAAAAATTAACTTTCATACAGGTTTGCATCGCTCGTGCGCCGTGCTAAGCGACGATTTTATCATAATGAGGTGAATGAATACCTTTCCACTATTAAACGATAAAAGGTCGTAATTGCGTTGATGGGTGGTGTAGATTAGTGAAAGAAATGCTATTGAAATTATTCAAAGAGCTTCGAGAGACATAAACACTTCAATAAGTCAGTCGAATCTCCAAAAAACGTTAAACAAACCATCGATTTCCACTTGATGCGTAATTTTTCAATTGACGCCCATGTTGCTGAAGGCAACTGTATGATAGGTCTCAAAACGAGTCAATCGACGCTCCAGCTCCCTTCACAAGTCCTTTTTTTTGGTGTTTCAATTCACGATTAGAACCCCTTCTAGGTGAACTTTGGATTCGTATAATCCTTTGGAAAAGGATTTCTAAGACGTCGTTCCCAAAGACCCGCCTTCGGCCCTACCTCCGGACCGAGGTGTGCGTCATGAGATCGACCTTTCTCTGCTTACCTAGCATAGATAAGTTCATGACTCACCAAAGCTCCACCAGGAGACGTGCAAGTCGTATTTGCAACCCTAGACGATTTTCTACAAAGCTGCAGCTAAAATTGTCGATATTAAAGGATATAGAATCGGTCAAAATCAAATGTGGACTACTTGAAAGGGAGATGTACTAGAGGCACCAAAGAATTACACCCACCAACACTTTGAGCAACGATAACGAAGAAGATCAAATGGTAGTGTAAGCCTAACGAATTTCTCAGCAATCCAATGCACGTAATTTGCGCGTACTTATCAAAACCATTCATCCAAATGCGATGCTGCAACAACAACAAGTGAGTCTGAATCGCCAATCATCCCCCAAAATCGGCTTCAACAAGAGCGGCAGCAGCAAGCGTGCAACATCTTCACGTCCAAGCGTGGGCGCTGGGGCTTAGCACCACGAAGCTCTGCTGAGTTCAGAAGAGCTATATTTGAAGGTGAAGAGCAAACGCTTCTAGTTGAACAATCGTGGTGATCGAAGAACTTTTTTTCGCACAGTTCCTGCTTCAGCCCAGGATTGTCTGTGACGTTGTGTTAAGAGCCACCGGTACCGCTGTTGATCATGAAGCTGATAAAGACCTCGACCGACACCTTACAGCTGCCTGTGCTGGCCTGAACTTGTTGCATAGCACTTTACAATTCTGAAATAAACAGCTATTTAATACTTAAAGTAATGTGTGTCATTTTTAGATCACGCTTGACACGCACTTGCTCTAGAGAATAGAGTTGATCAGCAGTCACTCGCCGATTTTGTTCATTGCATCGCGTGAAGGGACATAACGGAATTTGACGATCCCAAAGAGATAAGGGGAAAGTGGTACGTCTTACTGAGCGTTAGAGAGGCGCGACCCAGTACGAGAAGTCGTTCCAGCTCCTTCAAGATCAAGCTGCGCTTAGATTTTAGGGGTATGTTCGTCTGATGATTTAGAATGTGGAGCTCTTCTGTGCGATTGATAAACAAACACTCGTAATAACCGCTGGTCAGCACCAGATGTCCTAAAAGAAGCTCAAAACAGTATCAGCTGCTGCTTTATCTGAGAACATCAGTATTATGCTGATTCGAAACGTGTGATAATGTGCGTTTCCGTCGCCGTCGTTGCTGCCGTAAGCCTTCTATCAAGTCTTTTTAATTTCAAGCGCGACGTCTCTTAGAAATAATGACGTATGTGCAAGGAAAGGAGAAGAAGAGTGGAATACATGTCCACTTTTTGTCATAACTAAACCATGACCCGTTAGCGAGAGCATTTTCACATTACAAAGAGCAGGCACCAATAATGTGCTGGCTAAATTAATTTTTCAATGATCTACTCTAATGCATAAGATGGCAGGTTATGTTGCAGAACCTTAATCATGCACATAGGTACACTTTTGAAGACCAAGTTGGCACAAATACATCTTGAAAGTCACCTATTTGTACAATTGAGCCAGACATACCTTGCAATTTTGCTTTTTTAGGTACAATGTGCGCCAATTTGAATGTCTTTAACACGTGGTCGGTAGCATGGCTCACTTAATGCCTTACTAAGTCCTCGTCTCAAATTGTTTCGACGCTCAGGTGTTGTGTGCATTCATACTGTTATATTGAATGTCAACCTGCTGAACCAGTGAAGCAAGCCATCGACATGACTGGTGTGATTAGTCACAATCTCTGTGCATTTCTGCAGCTGAACCAAAATCTAAATTTAAACTGACAAGCCTAGTTCAGACCAGGCAAGTATGAATTGCTAGAAGACTTTGTACCGTTGGTCAGCGCGCTAACATACTGGCAATCATTGTTTTTGCGTAATAATACTAAAATAAAAAGTTTGTGTCAATTCATCATATTGTATTAGTAGTTCTGAAATAGCAGTGTGATGGTGTCAGCGACTAATTATGAATACTAAAATATTATTCGTTTTGCATGTAAGAGCCACTATGTGCAAAAAATAATACTGCATATTAGGATGGTCATAACATTTCAATCAGACTGCATCGCTGATTTCATCAATTAAAGCTCATGTCTGGGAAGTGGCAGTTATACAGCTTTATTTATCTCCAGATCCAATGTTAGAGAAGCAGTAAATCTCTTAATGCTAGAAAATCATGTCTAATGTTATAAAAATAGCAGCTGCCCATAGCATATGCCATATAGCTATTGTAATATTCTGCCATGTTTATATTTGGGCTTTTCAAATACCAAGTGTACACTACCTTGGGTGATAGTTATGTATACATGTATACATGTGTACATATTTGTGATGTCAACAACAGTGTAAGAATAGATCAAGTGCGCAAAAAGAGAAAGAGACAAATGATTTATCCTGTGTAAGTTGACCAATGCAAAGCTAGAAATAATCTCTAACATGAAAATTTTTGCCAGGCAACCAAAATAATTAAGCTTCATCACAGGTTTTGCTGTGATGACCCACATTTTTGCAAACACCGCATCTACGAACCTGCATCTTTTGAGCCGTAGGTCAATCGGGTGATGGTGGGGGCTGTCAATCAGTCAATTGATCGTGGGCTCAAATCAAACTGGCGAAAGTTAATGAGGTTTGACTAATTTGCTCTGTAGTTTAGGGCTCCATCGCATGTCTTCCCCCAGGCATGGCGTTCCCTCGCTGTAATAGGCTAGTTGATGAGGCATTTTTTAACCCAAAAAGGGTTCATTAATTGCAAGATGTATACATGTGTGCATCTATACATAGCTATTTTTAAAGTTTATATCTGAAGTAGTATATTTGGTGCTCTTTTTAAAAAAACGTGGTCAAAATTTCAAAATGTGATATATTCCGTAAGTAAAAAATAATAAAAAAGGTTTGCCCGCTCTGATGGCAAAAGGATAGCGAGGATAAGGATCTAAATCAATATCACTCTAATATATAACATACCGACAGAATAATCTGAGATTAAATTATGCGGGAGGCCTAATGACGCAATCTTAATTCTCGATTGATCGAGATTGCTCACATACAGCATCGACAACAATAGCCTGTTTAACATTTTTTGTTTGCACTTTTTTCCGTTATTTTGTAGATTATAGCAAACTCCGCCATATTGCGATAACGGTATAAAGACGGAATCGTGACTCAGCATATTTTCTGTCAAGAAATTCAATTTATGACCATTCATCTTGGTAATTTGGGCGGCTAAACTATCATTTGTCTCTTCATATTGTAATTTCTTCATCTTATTCCATTCAACATTCCTTGTCATGCTGTGTTGACATGATTACCAAACAAGCAGATTATTCGAATAGTTTTTCTTACGCCTGAAAGCTAAAATAAGTAAAATGAATATTCAAGTTAAAAGTAATACTAATAATAGATACTGATAGAAATATCTTTTTGCCAAAATAATTAAATGAGCTAAGGTGGCTGACACCGTTCGTTACATGCGATTATGAAAATGCTGTAGCATTCCGTTATTTGCTTTTCTTTTAAACAACCACAGTGAACATTTATCAGACTGAAGGAACAGGCAGCTAGTGGTGTTTTGTCAGAGATTGCAATGAGTCTACTGCTTCCAGAGACCGAGTCTGATACACAGGCAAATGAGTTACCAGTCCTAGACGTATACCAATCTTTTAATTTTCGAAGTGTTCAGGAACCGTACAATCACTCGAGCCACGACAACACATTGGTCAGTCGATACAGCACTTTAGACACTAAAAGTCTTGAAGTAATGTTAAATGGAGGTTTAGAGCGTTTTTACAAAAAGTATAACCACTTGTCTCGGAAAATCAACTTGCATCTTCCAACACCCGAAGTGCGTTTTCAGGAATTGTCTTTTTCCGTGCAAGTACCGGCAAAAGCAGGTTTTCACAGCACGGTTGGTTCAAATTTAGCTAAGATTTTCACGCCTTGGAAACGACCACGCATGGAAACTAAACACGCACTACACGCAATGACGGGAGTTATTAAACCAGGCTCTATGACGCTAATTCTTGCAAATCCAGGTGCTGGTAAATCGTCTTTTTTGAAAGCTCTCGCAGGAAAGCTTTCAAACAATCTTAAAACGAAAGTAGGTGGTGACATTTTGTATTCGGGTTTACAGGGTGATAAAATTGACCTCACTAAGCTAGTGGGTCTTGTGGACCAGACGGATAATCACATTCCGACACTAACTGTTCGTGAGACTTTTAAATTTGCTGATTTGTGCTTAAACGGACGTCCAGCAGACCAGCATGATGAAATGCGAGACATCGCAGCACTCCGAACGGAACTATTTTTGCAAATTTTAGGTCTTGAAAGTTGTGCGGACACTGTCGTTGGAAATGCACTCTTGCGTGGTGTAAGCGGCGGGGAACGGAAACGCGTAACTGTTGGTGAAGTACTAGTGGGTGGTCAAAGTTTATTTCTGTGTGACGAGATCTCGACGGGTCTCGACAGTGCTGCTACATTTGACATTATGAAAGCCTTACGCACTTGGTGCAACACGTTGGGGGGATCTGTGGTAGTTGCGCTGTTACAGCCAACACCTGAAGTTGTCGAACAGTTTGATGATATCTTGATGATTCACGAAGGATATATGGTGTACCATGGACCTCGGGGAGATATACTCGACTACTTTAGAGATCGTGGCTTTACGTGTCCTTCGCGAGTCGACCCCGCTGACTTTTTGATTGAGGTGACGTCAGGTCGTGGTCAGCGCTATGCCAACGGTAGTCTAGAGCTTCAAAATCTTCCAACTACAGCGCAAGAATTTCATACGCTATTTCTCAACTCGAGCATTTTTAAAAAGACTATGGAACTTATCGCTAGAGGTTTTAATGAACACCAGTTCGACAGTGCTGAGGATTTTAAAAAGGCACAAAGTGTTGTTAACTTGACACGACGTAAAGATCGATCTCAGTTTGGGATGGCTTTTATACCAAGTACACTGCTGTTGCTAAATAGGCAAAAATTGATTTGGTTGCGTGATCCTCCATTGCTTTGGGGTAAAGTTATTGAAGCTGTCATCGTTGGGCTTGTGTTGGGTATGATCTACTTCGAAGTGACTCCAACTTACTATCTTCGCATGATTTTCTTTAGTATTGCGCTGTTCCAGCGTCAGGCTTGGCAACAACTTACAATTTCTTTTCAACTTCGCAAGGTCTTTTATAAACAACGACCCCGCAATTTTTTTCGCACATCATCATATGCTATTGCAGAAGCTGCCGTACAAATTCCGGTGAATTTGACAGTCTCCTTTGTTTTAGGGACGTTTTTTTACTTCATGAGCGGTTTGACGCGCTCGGTAGATAAGTATCTTGTCTTTTTTCTTGTCCTTGCGTGTTTCCAGCACGCTATCAGTGCATATATGACAATGCTTAGTGCATTTTCACCAAGTATCACTATAGGCCAAGCAGTTGCAGCAATCTCGGTGAGCTTCTTCCTCCTATTTTCTGGTAACATCATTCTGGCCGATTTGATCCCAGATTACTGGATTTGGATGTACTGGTTTAATCCGCTAGCGTGGGCACTTCGAAGTAACATGTTATCTGAATTCTCGAGTCACCGTTACACATCTGAACAAAGCAAGAAGATACTGGACAGCTTTTCTATTACTCAAAGTACTGAGTACATTTGGATTGGAATTGGTGTCCTCCTTGCCTATTACGTGCTTTTTACGACATTGAATGCAATGGCCTTGCACTTCATTCGGTACGAAAACTATTTGGGTGTCAGCGCAAAGACTTTACTAGACCATCCACCCAACGAAGATGACACGTTTGTGGAAGTCACCACACCCGAAGCTTTGAAAAATCAGAAAAGCTCAGGACTACCATTTACACCTTCGAATCTTTGTATTGTGGATCTCGAATACTACGTGACATTGCCATCGGGAGAGGAAAAACAGCTTCTACGAGGTATCACAGCGCACTTTGAACCTGGTCGAATGGTGGCACTCATGGGGTCTTCTGGGGCGGGCAAGACGACACTTATGGACGTTATTGCTGGGCGGAAGACGGGTGGTCGAATTGTTGGTGAAATCATTGTCAATGGTGAGCCAAAGAATCCGGCGAATTTTAGCCGTATCACAGCATATTGCGAACAGATGGATATTCATTCAGAGGCTGCTTCTATCTACGAAGCACTTGTATTCTCGGCAAATTTACGCTTACCACCCACTTTTACCCAAGAAGAACGTATGAATTTGGTTTTTGAGACTCTTGAATTGCTGGAATTATCGTCAATTGCAAGCGAAATGGTCGGTCATCTTTCTGTAGAGCAAAAAAAACGCGTGACAATTGGCGTTGAAGTTGTATCGAATCCAAGTATTTTATTTCTAGATGAACCAACAAGTGGATTGGACGCACGTTCGGCTCTGATAGTCATGCGTGGTGTCCAGTCTATTGCACGTCGAGGACGCACAGTCTTGTGCACGATTCATCAACCGAGTATTTCAATCTTTGAGCTTTTTGATGGTCTCTTACTACTTCAAAAGGGTGGTTATACGGCATACTTTGGTGATCTCGGGATTGATTCTGTCAAGATGTTGGAATACTTCGCGTCAATCCCAGGAACCTTTGCGATTCAGCCGCAGTATAATCCTGCAACGTATATGATGGAGGTCATTGGTGCTGGTATTGGTCGTGATGTTAAAGACTATTCGTTGGAATACAATAATAGTAAACTTGGCAAAATGAATCGAGAACGGACATTGCAACTTTGTAAAACGTCTGATACTTTTGTGCTGCACTCAACACTGAAATACGATCCAATAGCTACAAGTTTATGGAATCAATTGATACAGCTAGTGAAGAAGCAGCAACTTACATATTGGCGGAATCCTCAGTACAATTTCATGCGTATGTTTCTCTTTCCATTGTTTGCAGTCATCTTTGGGACAACATTTTATCAATTATCAGCAAATAGTGTCAAGAAAATCAACTCACATATTGGGCTTATTTACAATAGTATGGATTTTATCGGTGTTATCAATCTCATGACCGTCCTGGAGGTTACATGCGCTGAACGTGCCGTGTTCTACCGTGAACGAATGTCAAATTATTATGGGCCGCTTCCATACAGTTTGTCATTATGGTTTGCTGAAATACCGTATTTGATTGTTGTGATCATTCTGTTCGTAACTATTGAATACTTTTTGGTGGGCTGGAGTGATAATCCTAAAGATTTCTTCTTTTTCTTGTTCGTATTTTACCTATACACGTCAGCATGCACGTACGTGGGCCAATGGATGTCTGCATTGATGCCGAATGAAAAAGTTGCGAATGTTGCAGTCGGTGCTTTGTCATGCTTATTTAATTTATTCTCGGGCTTTTTGTTACCTCGAACGGCAATGAAAGTTGGGTATAAATGGTTTCAATATCTCATGCCTTCATACTACTCGCTATGTGTGTTAGCTGGCATACAATTTGGTGATAATCACGACATTATTACCGTGACAACAAATGGTATGGCAACAAATATGACGGTAGCGGCCTATGTGAAAAAGTCGTACGACTTTCAACCAGAGCACAAATATCACTTTATGGCTGGCTTACTTGTCATTTGGGTTGTGCTTCAGCTTGCTATTTATCTCACATTTAAATACGTCAGTCACCTGAAAAGATGATTAAAAGTAATAAATTGCAAATTCAGAGACGCCAATCTTATCCAAACATCGTATTGTAATACTTCAGTAAATATAATCACTTCTCATGAACTTTTCTTACAAAATGTTGCACCACTCGTTCCCGTAAACACTGGCGTTATTAAGTTTTCCGCACGTTCGGCATCTCCAACTGGTGCAGCCAGCAGGTAGTGGGTACGGCGCCGAGCATGTATTACAGAGCGCGTTGCCCTGTGCGTCGTGGCGAATATTGGAGTTGTTGGATACGTGGATGGCACCGGGTGGAGCCGGCACAGCCTGAACTATTGGACGACCGTAAGCGTCTACTTGAACGGGCTGGCCTGCAGCCATGGGGGGCGCATCTACAGTCTTCTGAGGCTTCTTCGAGTCCATTTGGAGAATTTCGGAATGAGAGAGAAGAAAATCATGATAAGAAAAATAACAATAAACTTGAAATTATTACGATATTGTAGTTTTTTATTTTTTTATTTTTTTTTTGTGTCGAGAAAAAAATCGACCTTCGATTCGATATATTAATTAATACAAGATGTAGTTGTTTTGCTGCTCTTCTTCTCTTAGCTCAGGATGACCCAGAGCAGCACTTATTCACCGCTAATGCTCTAAGACAGTTAGCTGAATCGCTTTCAGACTATCCTAAATTTTTTTTTGCAATGCCCAAACGTAAAACCGGAGTTGAAAGAGTGTTCGGAATAAATTCCGTCTGTTGTCATAATATGTGCCATACGATATTCATAGAACGTGGCCAAGATAAAGGTGCAATCAAAACATTTTATGACCTTACTTTGAGGTTGGGCCTGTTGGAAGCAGTGTAGGTAAAAAACATGATGAAATGTTGTTCAGATAAAGAATGATTTACAGTCTTATTCAGTAGATCATCATAAATTGTGAGACTTTTTAGCTGCGTTGGTGGCAGCTGCTACGAATATTTGAACGGCACGGACCATTGCAGACCTCAGCTTACGCTTTGACAGTATTGATATCATGTTGCCTGAGACCTTTTCACCTATTGAGTACTATAAAAGACATGTAAATGGGGGTAAATTGATTAGTACATCGGTTGTTGAGAAGATGTCAAAACCACAATTCATGTATGCTATAAGTTCCTTAGCTCGCTGCTGTGTGCTAGCTGTAGCCTACTGATTGTAACCTAACTCAACAAGACAAATGACCGACTACCATTACGTCTGTAATCAATATCCATAACCATGACATTGACTATAACCATTACCGTAATCCTTCTGACGTCATACACACACATTCAGCGTTGGGATATCGACATTCCCACTCGCCATAAAATTAAGTGTGCTATGTCGCTGACTTGATCTTGTTACCCTGTGTCTTGCGCAGTAATTTGAGCATGTTGGCTCCGAATGCCTTCGTCAGCATATTTGCTATTGATTCTTCATATCGATGCGGTCGATCTTCGGTAATACATGCTTAAGCAGTAAAATGGTGTCTGATGTTCACGTGCTTTGTACAAGCGCGGTAGCCTGCGCTACTCATCAAAGATTAAGGCTCTTGATTGTCTCCCATATTTGCGTGCCCCCCGCGTATTCGTGCCCCATGTCCTTGAGCACTGCGTGCGGCCAAAGTACTTCTTGCTGTATAAGCTGAAAAACATGTACTCGGCTTCTGCGGAGCTCAGTCCGACGTTCGTCTGTTATTTGAATACACAACTAGAGCATTGGCCATATTGATCAAAGCACCTGCCTGATACAGAGCGTCTATTATCAGTGTTGCTACCCTGCGAAAAAGCTTCGACAACCATTAGACGATCCTGGATGACAAGTCGACTCTAAGTACTGATTGCGAAGTTCCAATGATGTAATCCGAGGTTCTCGGGAAAACGAGACAGCTGCATCACGACATATGCGATATATGAACGAGTGCACAATGTTATGTACAGTAGACAGCCAGTTAGAGATCCATTTGGTCGTGAGTACATCTCCGAAAGTACATTCTTTGTGTAAGGTGACTACGCTGTCAACAGTTTAAGATCAGACGCACGTAGAGTTGATGTCCTTGGCGATTTTTTGGCCAAATCCCTGACCACGTCGTCAATGTAGCGTGCCTATTTAATCATTAGGCATGCTGTTGTCGTGCCGTGGCCGATCTTCAGAATATATATATATATAT